CCGTGACCCAAAAATGGAATAAGCGGGTAAAGATAATGGATGGATGGATGAATGGTTATGTATCACAGAGCTTTAAGGTTGTGGTAATTTAACCTGTACTTAAGAAGTCTGACCTTGATTAAGAAATTCTGGCCAACTATAGACCTATATCTAATCTAACTTTCATCTCAAAAAATCTAGAGAAAATAGTTGCAGGTCAGTTGCGTGAACATCTACAAAGAAATAATCTGTTTGAAGAGTTTCAGTCAGGGTTTAGAGCTCATCATAGCACAGAAACAGCACTAGTAAAAGTCACTAATGATATTCTCATGGCCTCAGACAATGGACTTGTGTCTATACTGGTCCTGTTAGACCTCAGTGCTGCATTTGATACAGTTGATCACAATATTTTACTACAGAGGCTTGAATATGATATTGGGATTAGAGGAACAGCTCTAAAATGGTTTAAATCATATATATCTGATAGATTCCAGTTTGTAATTGTAAATAATGAATCTTCTTCATACACCAAAGTTAGTCATGGAGTTCCTCAGGGCTCAGTGCTTGGGCCAATACTCTTTACTTTATATATGCTTACATTAGGTAAAGTTATTAAACAGCATGGGGTAACTTTTTATTGTTATGCTGATGACACACAATTATATTCGTCCATTAAACCCAATGAATCCAATCAGCTGCTTAGACTACAAGCATGTCTTAAAGACATAAAAACCTGGATGACCCTTAATTTTCTCCTGTTGAACACAGAGGTTTTGGGTTTTGGACCTGAGCACCTTAGGAATTAATTTTTCAGTCTTTCACCCTCCTTAGATGGCATTAATCTGTCCTCCAGCTCTAATGTTAAAAATCTTGGTGTTATTTTTGATCAGGACATGTCTTTTATCCCCCACATTAAAAACGTTACTAGAACTGCCTTCTTCCACCTGCGTAATATCACTAACATTAGAAACATCTTATCTAAAAATGATGCAGAAAAACTGGTCCATGCATTTGTCACATCTAGACTGGACTATTGCAATGGTTTATTATCTGGATGTCAAAATACGTCTTTAAAACGTCTTCAGTTGATCCAAAATGCTGCTGACAGAGTCTTAACCGGAGTTAGTAGGAAAGATCATATCTCTCCAGTTTGAGCTTCTCTCCATTGGCTTCCTGTCAAATCCAGAATAGAATTCAAAATCTTACTTCTAACCTACAAAGCTCTCAACAACCTGGCTCCATCTTATATTACAGATCTTATAGTTCCATATTTTCCTAACAGAGCACTTCACTCTCAGACTGCAGGTTTACTTGTGGTTCCTAGAATTTACAAAAACAGAATGGGAGGCAGATCTTTCAGTTATCAGGCTCCTCTCTTGTGGAACCAACTTCCAGTTTCTGTCCATGAGGCTGACACATTATCCAGTTTTAAAACTAGGCTTAAGACTTTCCTTTTTGCTAAATACTATAGTTAGGGTCGGCTTGGGTTTCCTGAGCTGTCTCTTAGTTATGCTGCTATAGGCTTAGACTGCTGGAGGACAAACTGACCACAATTTTTCACTCTGCTACTGTCTTTACTTACTCTGCTCAACCTGTTTTGTATTTGTAATTATTTTTTCTATCCTTAACATGTGTTTTTTTTTTTTTTTTTTTTTTCAGAT